GAAAATTGCCGAAAATAAATTATTTAAGAATAATTGAAAGTGGCATTGATTTCATTTCAAAACGTTTCAAGTTGTTGACGATATCGTCAATGGTTTCGGACTATCTTGAAAATTATATTAAACGCGAAACAGATTGTTTGCCTAATGACAATTTAGACTTGCCGTGTACAATAGAGTCTGTTATTGAGAGTGTAACCCATTTTCATAACAACCTGTTAGAATTGATTGACGGGTTTTCAAAAATTATGACCTTGTGGAAATCAGAAAAGTATGAAGATTTAGTAAATGCTACGTTAGTTAGTGTTTCCGTTCTATCCGACGAGCAGTATAGAATGGAGACTACATCGTCCGATGCAAATGACGGAAAATTGCCGAAAAAAGTCCGTTTGAGAAAGATTGAAAGTAACGTTGATCGTATGTCTAAACGTTTCAAGTTCTTAACAATACCGCCACGTGATGTGATAGATTTTTAAAATGTTTCGAGACGCGAAAAATAAGCGAGTACTATTTTGTTTTCACTATAATAACCCTTTATATTTATATTATATGTGAATTTTTGTTATTACATTGGATAAATTTATTATTCTTTAACTAAAATATAATTGATCGTGTACTGTGTTAAACTTATCAAAATACAAATACGTAGGTACCTATAACCGTGTCGTTTAATCATAAAAAAAAACCAATAAATATACATGATTCGACGCATTAAGCCACGTCATTGTTATTGTTTGTTTATTATTATATCGTATATTGTTTTTTTTTTATCGTTGTTTTTTTATACATTGATTATAAAGTTCTTTTGTTTTAATATCCGTACAATACCTATATGGTACTCGAATATCTCCCGATAAAAGTCAGGATTAAGACATTTAGAGGCTCTTAAGCAAAAATTTTAACAGAGTCGTAGAGTTTAAAAAAAAAAACGTATATAAAAATTATTACTCCATATGTTTTAAAGAAATAAAAATAATATATAATACAAGGATCTAAACGTAGTTTCCACTAAAGGTCCTCGACTAAAAAGTATTAAAAACAATTAATCATTGAAAAATACAATAGGTTTAAGATTAAATGTATATAGATAAAGAACATAAATTATATTGTAGCAAAAACTGAGACATTTATCTAGTGTCTTACGGCTATGGCCCTCCCTGGATCCCCAATCTTAGTCTT